TTACTGTGTTGTATTTAGCAAAGTTTTGTAGTTTATTTTGTTGTTACTCTTATTGTAAGTCAAACGGTTTATAGTTAAAGAAAGGTCAAGTTTTCAGTCAACTTGTTCTACAGCAATAACTCGTATCATTTCAGATAGGAGTTTCAGGGTTATCTTCAGTACATGTATGTGTGTGTGTGTGACCTTTATATGACAAGAGCACAGGACCACAGTATTTACATGATGATATACATTACGTATATGAATAAGGGATTGAACGGTAGAATCCCCATTCTCTGAAAAACATAATAGTATTAAAGGTAAGTGAAATAACATTCTTTTCTTACATTTTTCAATGTGACGAGATGTTTCAACCTTGGATACTTCTCAGACACTTGAATCTAACCACGTTAACCTTTGGCAAGAACAGATATTAAAGATTTTAGTCTTACTGTAGTCATGGTAGCTGTAACGGTGATGGTTATGGTACTATGTTATTTAGGGTATTGATACTGTAGTTGAATATAATATAAAGTTTGTATTTCACGCCAGTCAAATATAAAGGCGGGAGGGTGTGTGTGGTAATTCTAAGGTATGTGTTCTATCTGGTAATGAAATGGAAAAATACAAATCAATTGATGTTTGTTATTTTATTATAACAGGCATACATAATGATAATTTCCCAACAATTAACAAAAATAATAAAACATCTTAATAACTTTTGCATGTACAAACCAGTTAACAAGCAAAATATATAACAAGATTATAACATCAGGGCAATATCGTCTCAACAGTATAAATATATCTGAATATAACATTATAACATTATTAACAGCATTACAAATATATACTATACTGATTGTTCCTCAAATTACCTTACACATTAAAGCATAGCACTAGTTAAGATTAACCATCAGTAATGAAACAGAAAGAGCAGGTTATAGCAAAAACGCAAGCTAGTCATCAAGATTATCCTTCAAGGTTACCATGAGTTATCTTTCAAGTTATCCTCAAAGTTAATCTTCGTCATTATCATCGATTCTATCCTTCAGGTCATCTTCAGTGTTCATGGTTGCCCGCTGGAAAGGGCCTTGTAGCTGTGGGAAGATTTTCACCCGAGAACTCTTCTGGGGGGCTTTGGTCGATCTGCAAGTTGAGTCCATACGATTAGAATACATTCGACAATCAGTGTTTATTTGTATAACTGTATAATACACTTAGTGTTAATGTTTTCAGTGTTTATTTGTAGTACACATGGTGTTATTGCTGTTTTTTTTTCTGCTTATAGCTTTACAGTTTTTACATGAGTGACATTGGATATTAATTTTAAGCATTAATGATCCTCTTATTTATTAAATCCTCTTAAATTTGCAAAAACATGAATTGGAATAATTTGGCATTCACTTATATATGATAAAGATTAAGATATCATTGCTTTTGACAAGACAATAATTCATCATTTTAATGATAGCAACAACGGTACTTACAACATGCATAGAAACCAGAATTTTTCTTCACCAAACATCACCTTGTGAACTTGATGAACGTAGTGACTATTCCAAAGGCTTTACTACACTCATGGATCCCTTCCGCCTGCATTCAGTAGCCTTACGTCTGAGTCTAAACAAGCTTCAAGCTCTTTATAGTAGGGTCTTTGCTTATGGTTTAGTTTTTATCTCTTTAACTTATAGGCCTTAGAATATTTATTCTTATTCTGCTCCTTTACGTAAACTAGTCCTCATGGAAAAATATATCTATATATTTCCGTATTTAAACTATATACAGGCTGCATAGTTACTCGTGGATTCATTTTTAGAGTCTATTTACAAAACTATTTACAGTTTAAAGCCTTTCTATAATTAATTGAAGTGTCATTGTCAAAAAGTCCGTTAATCAGTCCAGAACACATCCCAAGTAACCGATAACTTCACGTGAACTTTCCTGTAGTTCAGATAAAAGAGAAGAGATAGACATAAGAAATGCAACCAAGCTTATTCTATCCTACAGAAGCTTAAGGGTGCACAGAAACCACACACACACATGTATATATACACACACACGTATACACACATACACACACAAATATGTATATATATATATATATATATATATATATATATATATATATATATATATATACAAATTAAATACACACACATACACACACACACACACACACACACACATATATATATATATATATATATATATATATATATATATATATATATATATATATATATATATATATATATATGCATATGCATATATATATATATATATATATATATATATATATATATATATATATATATATATATATATATATATATATATATATATGCATATGCATATATATATAACATATTATATCATATTATATTATATGTTACATATATATATATATACTATATTATATTATATATTACATATGTATTATATATATTATATATATTATATATATACTATATATACATTATATATATTATATAAATATTATATATTATATATATATTATATA